AGGTCTCTGTGCTGGTACTCCCTGATAAAGGAAGGAGTGTACTTGATGCACGGTTTGTCCGCTGGCCCCAGCACATTGTCAGAGGCCGTATACAAGCGTGGTTTACCAAATAAAAAGTCTATATTTTGATGCACTTTTGCAGCTCTATGTTTCACCAAGGAGTTACCAAGAAGAAGTACTTTAATATGGAAATACTGGATCTTGTCATCTAAGGCATATGAAGGGTTCATAAACTTTGGTTCTTTTTTTGAAAGCAATATATTTTATTTTAAATTCAATTTTTGGTTGCCTTTCCGGACATTGGTGCAGCCATACCTGGCCATTAAGTGTAAGTGGTTTCTATAATTTAATTAGATTCTAGATTTAACACAGAAACCCATAGAGGCAGAAGTGCAAAAAGTTTTATTCTTTTACAGCATTGGGATTTTACCAGACTGGTATCTCACAAACCTTGACTTGTAAAGCACTCTGCAGCTAACTCACACATTATTGCAAGTCTCTAAAAGAGAACGCCAGCAGAGCCCAAAGCCTACCGGTCACTCTACAGGCCGGCCCTGCTTCTTCCTGCCAGTATGGCCTTTGTGGCTATTCCAAGGGTCATCTGATTCTGAAAGCTCCAAAACAAGCTCTTCTGGTTCTGCAGCATTTTCAGAATCTTAGAGGTAAAAGGATCTTGATAAAAAGGATGGAAAATAAAAGAAATAACTTTGCTTCTCTCTGCGGAGACAAGTTGTCCACTCTCGTATGACACTAACAAGAAATTGTGGCATGATGTTAATGGTAGGGATTATACTTAGCTGCCTCACAACTCTGTTTCCCAGTGTCCAATCTCCTGTAAGCAGCACAGATGCGGCTCTTTAATTAAGCGAGTTAGGCGGTCGCCTATGGCCTCGTGCTCACGGAGGCCTTGCAGCCACCTTACTCGCCTACTCTAAAGCAGGGTAGGCACAGATGGCGCAATGTGGGGGGGGGATAGAAAAAAGCACCTTTTTCTGCGGGTTCAGTGCGCTCCCCCTGCTGAGACTTCACTCCACATTTCCCTGCTGGGACTCCGCTCCATCCGCAGCCCAGCCTGGCTTTTTTTAAAGTGGCAAAGCAGCACCAGCAGCAGCGAAAGCAGGAAGAGAGAGGACCGAGACAAAGATCAGCCAGACTGGCAGCATAAGGTAAGGAATCAGGGCAAGCAGCTAGAAAGGGACGGGACACAGGCGATCCGGGAGTCTGAGTGTCTGAACACTCTATCCAGGGGCAGAACTACCGGCACTGACAGGGAGGAGGCCAAACACCGCTGGTTCCGCGGTGGAGGAAGCCGGGCCCCAGCAGCGCCGGTCCCGCGGAGGAGGAGGCCAGGCCTCAGCAACGACGATCCAGTAGTGGAAGAAGCCCGCTGTGACAGGTAAGGAGCTGCAGGTAAGGGCCCCCGACCAGCCCACCTGAGACCCCGCAGAGCCCACCATAGAGACCCCGCAGAGCCCACCGTGGGCTGAGCAGGATCTATGGTGGGCTCTGTGGCTCTCAGCTCCTCTGTACAGAGACTGATATGACTGGCTCAGTGATCTTTGTACAGCACTGCGGTATATATTAGAGCTATATAAATGTATAATAATAATAGTGTGAGACTGTGGGGGAACAATAGAGTATAAGTTCCTCTGGAAGACCATCCTCTGGAAGACCATCGTGGTCTTCGTCATCGCGGTCAAATCTTGCACCAGGGCCCTTTATTCCTTAGGTCCGCCATTGCGACCAGAAATTCTGCCAGCTCACCACCATTCTGTGTCTCTCCTCCCCGCTCTCTCTCTTGGCCGCCTCTCCTTCCCGCTCTCTTTCCTGGCCGTCTCCCCTCCCCGCTCTCTCTCCTGGCCGTCTCCCCTCCCCGCTCTCTCTCCTGGCCGTCTCTCCCTGCTCTCTCTCCTGGCCGTCTCTCACTGCTCTCTATCCTGGCTGTATTTCCTCGCTCTCTTCAAGCTGTCTCTCTTCGCTCTTGCCTGAATATTCTGAAAAGAAAAAAAAATGTTGCACAGTGCTAAAGTGTTCAGGTTTTGCTTTAAGAAAAAGGTTGCAACCCTAATCAGCTCACCTCCTGGGTGAAACGGGACCGGGACCAAAGCTGCGGGTGGCTGGAAGGGGGGTTTGACCTATGTAGGCAAAATCCTTGCAACACCCTGGGCCCCGCCGCTGGACATCCGCCTCGCTCTACCATCACAGTTCAATTAAGTTTCCCCAAAGGCCTCACAAAGTCTACAGCCGCCTCTGAAGCAGCATATCCCAGTTGTGTAAACTTTTCATCTGCCCAGCGTCCCTTACTGAACAATTAAGAAAAAGCCCTTTTAGGTACAAAGATGCACTGTAGCGTTTAACTGTATAATCTAAATCTCTTAAGACTAGTATGAGGGTAACTGCAGCAAAAATTGTCTCACAAGAATACATATTCAGAGACAGACATTATAGAGGAAACCTCAATCTGTTTAGTCTAAAATGAATTGCTGGAGCACAACAAAGTGAAAGTAGTGTGAGATTTAGCTTCCAATGGTAGCGCATTAAGGACGCATCCACTCGCTGCAATCTTCATTCAAGGGCTTCCTTGCCCACTTTTATTAAATGAAAGTTCACAAAACAGAACAATTACCCTCGTAGGGTTTCTTTAGCATCTCATGGCAGCACATGCCCATCCAGCCTCCTGGCTTTGCATTTCCAGCACCGCTGCTCCGGCATCAGCCCACTGTCTCTTCCTCCAGACAGCCTCAGTCATGTGCTAACCTGCACACTGGGGGATTCTTCCCAATCCGCAGCACCCTGCTGCACTGGAGTCCACTCTGACTCCTGGGTGGAGCCTTCCTGTCTCCCAGGTGGAGTCTTGAATCCTTCCCAACAACTTTAATTTAAAGGCTGTGCACACCTGTGCCATCAGCATGCGCTGGCCACTCAGATTCTGGACACTGGAATGGAGATAACGCAGTGGCATTGCCATGCACTGCCACAGTAGTCAAATAACTAAAAAGTATTCCTGCGGTACAAACATTACAAAACTGTAGGACCATGCCTGCTTCTCCTAGAAGTTCTAATCTAAAATGTGACAATTCAAAAACAGATGACTGCACAATCATATGTAAACACCTAGTAACTACTGCTAATTTTTTCTTAACCCTTGCAGTGGGGCTACAACAGTTATATTAACCCGATTCTCAGACACAGTAGGCTCTTACATCAGACCTTCCAGCCTAGCTCCCCCTACACTCCAGCGGTCAAAAGATCTTTGAGTCATCACATCCTATACACTGTGCATTAGACACAAGGACACCGAGGGACATACCGTCGTTGCAGCGGTATGCCCCTTGCTAGAGGGAGCGCTGTAACAGCTAGTGGGCTCTGAGGATAGCCCTGCTGCAAAGGTTGAGTTCTTCTTTAAAATCTGTTAACTACTTGTGATGTAGTTTAGTAAGGCTATGTCCAAAATAATTTTTAACAAGAATTCTACTGATTCTCGCATTGACTGTGGTAATTGAAAATTGAAAAGCCATGCAGAGCCAGATTTCTATCACTGGAGACTGTAGGCACACAACATTTGGCACACAAAACACCCAGTTCTAGGATTTAGGAGTCTACTTTGGATCCCACATCTTGCATAGCCTTAAATTTTGGGGTTTAATAAGGAGTTGCGCTAATATTGCGCAACATAAAAATTTTCAACTACCACCATTTTATTCTATAGGGTCTTGGCATTCAGAAAATATATAATGTTGGGGGGTTTTACGTCATTTTCAGGCCTAAAATGTGGAATATAACATGGGTGCAAAAATTGAAAAAAGGGCCTCAGTCATGAAGGGGTTAAGCCATTTGATGCCAGATATCCACCCTTACTAGGAACTCATAATTTCCCTACTATATATTGATCTTTGAAACACATTTGCCTCTATAGTCCAGGGTCCCCCAGATATATATATATCTCTTCTATGCTCAGTTGCAAGGAGAGCACAAAAGGAGCACCGCTCCTCCAAAGCTCAGGAAAGGAATGAGCCGGGTGCTTGCCGATGGGAGAGCCTCCTCACTCTCCACATTCCCTGCTTACATATGTGAAGAACTGAGAGCAAAGCTTGAACAACCCGACAGCATCTGGGGTGAGATCTGATTCAGGATAGCTAAAGCATATCTAAACCCCCAAAAATTTAATATATTGGAGCTTCCCAATGCATAAATGTGGCAGTTGCATTTATTTATTTATATTCACACAGGATCTATTTACAAATAATTTGCAGGGCAAATAATACCAAAAAAGATGTTTATAACACATTTTTCTCAATTCTAAAGTAGTGTTGATATAATACATTATGGCCACTAGATGGAGTTTCCCCAGTTCAAACATAGGGTGTTGCTGGAATACATTATGGCTGCATACTATGCTTCATCTAGAGGCCATAATGTAGTATTACAACAACACACTACATTCAACCTGGGGAAACTCCATCCAGTGGTTATAATGTATTATTACAACACTACTATCAAACTGGGAAAAATGTGATGAGGTGTAATCAGAAAAGAGGAACTCCAAAAATGTAAAAAGTAATGCTTGCAGTAACTTTACCCCTACACTGCAAGGGTTAACTGCTTATTTTGGTCTAGGGGTTCAAATTAAAAAAATATATACTCACCTGATTCTCGATCCCATCTGGCTGCTAGACCGGTCCACACAGCCTCTTCTTCCCCGGCCTCCGGCAGTCTAAGCCCCGCTGACATCATCACGTCTACTGCAGTCTATTCACCTGCATTAAATGTGAGGATGCCGCAGGACATTAGAGCTGGAGCGGAGGGGGAGAAAGGTTGAACGCTCAACGCCGAAGGACCGAGGATCAGGTGTGTATATCTTCTGAATGCCCCTAGGGAAAAAAAACATGAAGTTAACCCTCGCAGTGCAGGGGGCAGCCACACTGCAAGGGTTAACTGTTTACATTCCTGGATTTCTTAAAACTTTGGTTATCTTATACACAATCACTTACAATACATACCAGTATTAATCCGGATATCAGAGACGATGTGCCAGTAAGAGCAACATAGAACTTTGGAGTCAATGTACTGATAAAACCAGACACTAAAAAAGAAAAACAAGAGACTTTTATCAGAGCTAATTATATAAGGAAGTGTTCATTATAGATTTTACATTTAGAAAACAAAGCTGTTAAAGTCTGGACGTCAAGTAGTTTAGTGGGCAAAGCCTCAGGTGAAACAATAGTACTAATATGCAATGTTCCTGTGCAAGTGGGCCCCAATTTATTTGGGCTCCCACTTTCATGGGATTGCGGCGGTCTTATTTCTTTTATGTGTGGTAAACATGTTGTAGTATTTAACTGTCTATAAAATAATGTTCCATTTTTTGTTCCAAATATTCGGTGTCTATGTCATTTATTTATTATTATAAGTACCGCCTGCAATTCCATAGACTGGAGCAGAACAGGTCACTTTGTGAAACAGGCCATACTCTCAGGCCTGGTTTATATCTTGGTGGTTGCAGTTGCTGCGCAGCCCCGTTGATTCCAATAGGGTTATATCCAAGTGCCAAAAGGCTCATTGGCCTTTTTGTGCAATAAGCGACCTGCGGTTTTTTGCAGCCGTGATTGTGCGCAATTGCACCGCAGCACGCAACTGCAGATTGCTAGTCACGAAATTAGAAATTAATGGTAAAGCGAGGTTTACATTTGTGTACGATTCCGGGATTGCACACGAAACCAGATGTGAACAGGGCCTTAAAAACTTCAGTTGATTGAACATGCAGGAATTGAGCAGGGATCCCGGTTTGCCAGCACAGTCCTTAAACGGACTTAGCACAAAACGTTTGCTTGCGAACACACCAGTAAACACTATTTTAGGCTCATAGCAAAGGACACACAAAATACTGATTTTAGTTTAAAAATGGGACAAAAGTACTGTAACTGTATAGAGCAATAATAAGCCCTTTAGGCTTAGGAGATGGAGACCAAGATGTTACCAACAGCTATTGGTGCAGAGCAAGATTCGGAAACACTGACTAAAGCATGCATATTTGCGCAGAACCCATCCAGTAGATGGCATTAAACTGCCACCCTTTGAGTTCACTAGCATTTTCAGAACAAGTTTTTATCAGCTAGTTACAGAAACATAAACTGTTATGAAGACACAGACACAAACACGGACACTTATTGGCAGTTCATTTAAACTTCTATGCTTAGAATCAGTGATGCAATGTGTACAGTGGTGTATTTTCAAGCTTTTATGCATAGAAGTTCAGGTGTGCTTTAAGACACCTTTCCAGCTAGCTGAAACTGCACTTTGAAGCCTATGGATCAACAGTACAAAATTATGAATGGACCCTTGCGAAAACATTTTTGAAAAAAACCTGTTTCCCTATGAAATGTCATGAAACATTTATTATCACCCCACTTTTTTGATGAAATATAAAAGACGGGGTCACGCAGGGTAAATAGACAACAAACATATCATGCTTTCAAATTGCTCGCAATCGCAACCGCAAAATCGCAAAAAACGACCACACCGAATATTGGCCATAGGGGACCCTATAAACACTTTTACTGCTCATCGGTTTAGTGTTATCAGTGATTAATGGACCTAAAATTATTGCTCTCACTCCGACGTTCGCGGCGATATGTCAAATATGCAGCACAATAGGCGCAATAGTCGTTTTCGCACATAGGCTCACCCGACCCATGTTTGCCTGTTTATGTGCGGGGTGGGGGATTTAAGAAAATGTGTGGGGTTTTTTTATGCTTCTTTTAAAGGGGGCATTCTTTCCACACAACCACTATTACAGGCGGGTTCACCTTCATGCACCACCAGTGCAAGACGTGCCCTTCCCCAGGCACTGCCAGTGAAAGATGTGCCCTTCTCCAGGCACCGCCAGTGAATCACGTGCCCTTCCCCAGGCACCGCCAGTGAAAGATGTGCCCTTCTCCAGGCACCGCCAGTGAATCACGTGCCCTTCTCCAGGCACCACCAGTGAAAGACGTGGACCTGATTGTGATGGATTGGGGGTATTCTGATAAAGGGACTAATGTTCTTTTACATCCAACTCCCCATAGACCTAACATGGGTCCGGTAGGTTCAAAATGTTGTATGGGGCCCTGTGATTTCTAGTTACACCCCTTGCCGAGCCCACACAGCCTCATCTTCCCCAGGCACGCCAGTGAAAGATGCGCCCTTCCCCAGGCACCTCCAGTGAAAGATGCGCCCTTCCCCAGGCACCGCCAGTGAAACAGGCCCCTTCCCCAGGCACCTCCAGTGAAAGATGCGCCCTTCCCCAGGCACCGCCAGTGAAACAGGCCCCTTCCCCAGGCACCGACAGTGAAAGATGCGCCCTTCCCCAGGCACCGCCAGTGAAAGACGAGCCCTTCCCCAGGCACCGCCAGTGAAAGATGCACCCTTCCCCAGGCACCGCCAGTGAAAGAGGCCCCTTCCCCAGGTACCTCCAGTGAAAGATGCGCCCTTCCCCAAGCACCGCCGGTGAAAGAGGCCCCTTCCCCAGGCACCTCCAGTGAAAGACGAGCCCTTCCCCAGGCACCGCCAATGAAAGACGCGCCCTTCCCCAGGCACCGCCACCGCTGCACTGAGACTCCGCCAGGATGCATTGCCCTCCACATGCACTCAGACGGGCACACTTCCTTGCGGCCGCTTGGAAAAGCTGTGCGTCCGCGGCTGCAAGAAACTGTGCCCGTCTGAGCGGTTTCTCTCCTATCTACCTCTTAGCTCCAGAGCCTCAGAGAGAGTGGTGTGAACTCTCTGAGACTGCGGAGCGATGAGGCATCTGCAGCGTCCTGTCGTTGGTAGGCGGGGCGTGTTGGGAGTCCCGGCCGGGCTGAGCAGGCTGCACCACTGTGTGTGGATACTAAGATGGCTGGTTGTGTAGTGTTTGTCCGTTCTCTCCCACTCCCTCTCTCTCCCTCCTTGTATTTTCATATAAAACAAACTATTGCTCAGTATTATACTATCACTAGAAATTCTTGTGATTGTATAAGACTGAGCAATTACAGTGTCTCTCTGCTCCCCACCCGGCACCCTCTGAACCCCTCCTGACAACCTCTGTATCCCTCCTGACACCATCTGTATCCCTCCTGACACCCTCTGCACCGCTCCTGACACACTCTGTATCCCTCCTAAGACTTTCCGCACCCCTCCTAACACCCTTTTAACCCCTCCTGAGATCTTTTGCACCCCTCCTGACACCCTCTATACCCCTTCTGAGACCCTCCGCACCCCTCCTGAGAGCCTCCTGACCCCTCCTGAGACCTTCCGCACCCCTCCTGAGACCCTGCGCTCCCCTCCTGAGACCCTCTGCTCCCCTCCCGAGACCTTCCGCTCCCCTCCCGAGACCTTCCCCACCCCTCCCGAGACCCTCTGGATCCCTCCTGAGCCCCGCCGGC